GTGTGTGTGTGTGTGTGTGTGTGTGTGTGTGTCTTTTTGAGACAGGGTCTCGCTATGCAGTTTAGGCTGGCCTTGAGCACACTGTGTAGCCCAGGGTGATCTCGAACTCTAAAGGATCCTCCTGCCTCAGCCTCCTGAGTGCTGGGATTACAGGCCTGTGCCACCACACCCGGTTCAGTTTACAATCTAGAGTTTTAGGTGCTAAAAAAAGAAAATGAAAACAGCACAGCATAGCCAACCTGCAGAAACGTCTATGTAAATCACCTTCCTGCTTTGAAGAGATTAATTTCTTGAGCTGTGTTCCTTTTTTTAAAGTTTCTTAATTGGGGTGGAATATTACTCACTTGCTTAATTAAAAGGGCTACTTACTAGTACTCTCTAAGATTATATCCAGTCTTTTGCTTTCAAAACTAAAAATAAAAATCTAAAATTCTTGAAACAAGGCATCAAGTGGAGTTTGTGACCTCCAGGTCATCTTGATGAGTGCTACCTGAACCTCTTCCAAGTCCCTCCTGGCCTCTGGGTTTCTGCAAAGGGCCTGAGTCATGCAGAAGACAGTAGGGATGTCTCCAAAGAACATGGAGAACTGCTGTTCACCTATGATTAGGTTGAATTTACTCTTAGAAATAAATGACCACCTCTGATCTCTTTACCTTAAATAAAGGCCATCTTAGATACAGATAGCTTTTCCTACAGTGCAGCTCTGAGGTTGAAATACAGACTATGAAGACTTGAAACATCCAATTGTTCATTTTTTAGTTGCAGTCCTATAAATCTAACAGGAAGGTAGATGGGCACCTTTGGGGGAAGGAATTTAGTTGGTTGGGGGTAATGGGGACAACCGATGGGTTTACGTTATCCTTAGCAACCACACTGATTGTGTTTGAGTGTTGACAGGCTGTGGAAATAGCCTGCCTACCCCGCAGCACTGTACCTTGAGTTACACACTTCCAGGACGGGAATAAGTCGCAGCTGAAGGACTGTGCTCTTGGAAATTAATTTAACAGTGGTGAAAGACACACCCTATAAGAGAGCTTTAGCAGAAAGCTTATCACTTTGCTAAGTGAATGGGATTGTGTGGCATTCTAGAGCACAGGCGTCTTTCTGAAAATTGTGGTGATACTGCCAGTGGCAATACTATTTTGTCTAGATTTGTAACTGTATCCCCTACTCCTTAAACAACACCTGGTGCTTAGTAGACTTTTTTTTCTATATTTCCTCTGTTGTTTAGCCTTATTTTGGTTAATAGGAATTTTCCTGAGCCTTAGTAAGACAAGGTAACTCTTGAGAGGAAGAATCCCCTGAATCTAGTAAATGCGTGTTGGAGGAGAGCCAGTCAGGAAATTAGTGTCACTATTCAGTAGGGGATCCTAGCTTCTAGGAAATGAAGAGTGTGTTTAGACTCAGGCAGCCTTAATTTGGGTGAGGATTTGAATTTGCCCCACATCTCAGCATTTCTTGGTTTTGACTTTTTTTTTTTGAGGCAGGGTCTCACCATGCAGTTGAGGCTGACCTTGAACTCTCAAGGGTTCCTGTCTCCTGTCTCCTCCCACGTGCTGGGATTACAGGCGTGTGCCACCACACTCTGCCATCCTTTTGATATTTTGAGTGAACTCCAGGGAGCTTTGTGCCTTTACAGTAATTACTGTGACAGCACTTTTTGAACTTGAGCTGTTACTGGTTTTTCTGTGTGTAATGTTTTTTGTACTTAGTATTCTTGGTGTACCAGGGAATGTCTGGCATTTATAGGTTTATCTTTTTTTTTTGTTACCTCTTTTTTAAGTCAGACTTGGTACATTTTAGATATGCATAATGGTCACATTCATCATAGAGAAGAATTTGGTCTCTCTTTTTTTTTTTTTTTTTTTTTTTTGAGACAGGGTCTTGGTATACAGTTCCGGCTGGCCTTGAGCTCAGTTTGTAGCCAAGATGGCCTCGAACTTGCAGTAATCCTCCTGCCTCAGCCTCCCTAGTGCTGGGATTACAGGCGTGCACATAGAGAATTTGTATCTGTACGATATAACTTGATTCTTTTTTCCCCCATTCCCTTCCCTTCCCTTCTACCCCTCCTCCCCTCCCCCTTTACAAAAACTGTTTGCATTTCTTCTTTTTTCTTTTTTTTTTACTTTTCCTCTCTGTTCCCACTTCCCCTCCCTTATTCCTCTCCCCATTTGAATATTTTCTTCCTATTTCACAATACCTATTACACATTTTGGTCCTTATTTACACTTTCGGTTTCTCACACCAGAGAATGTGGTGTTTACACGTGTGTCCCATTTATTTCACCTTAGAGTATGGTCTCAAGGTGCTTCCGTTTACCTAGAAATGTCTCAGGCTTACCCTTCTTTATGGTGGAGTAGTACTCCATTGTGTAAAAAAACCCCACATCTTTAGCCCATCGCGTAATCCCAGCACTCAGGAGGCCAAGGCAGGAGAACTGCGGTGAGTTTGAGGACTGCCTGGGCTACAAAATGAGTTCAAGGCCAACCTAAACTGCATTGCAAAACCCTTTCTCCAAAGGGGGGGAAAAAATCCACATCTTCTTTATCCATTCTCCAGTTGATGGGCATTTGGGCTGTTTCCAAGATTGGGCTATTACAGACTGCTGCTATAAATATGGGTGTGCATATATCACTGTGGTATGATGCTTTTAATTCTTTTGGGAAGATACCAAGGGGGGAATAGCTGGGTCAGATGGAACCTGTAGTCCAAGTTTTTTGTGAATCTCCACAC